CTGTTTGAGCTCGTATTTCACTTGTAGATAGAGTTTCTAGTGAAGATAAAATTCTAAAAGGATTCTTCGCATTCGACCTTTCTTTTCTAGTTATGATTATTGTACTGAATTTCCAATCTATTGCAGGGTATCACGTTGAAAACCAAATCGAGGAATCTCAGCTTGAAATCTTTTGATCTGATCTTACGCATAATATCTTGAAATAAGCTAGAAATTCAGTAAAGTGATCATAACTCAAGAACAAGGATCGTATGTGAAGAATCATTTTAAGATCTTTATTCGGCATTATGAGCCAGACCTATGCACAATATATTAGCTCAAACAGAGTGTATCAGATGACGGCATTCTCTCGTTAGCACTAACAAGGCGTAAGAAGATCACAATGTACAAGTGATCTACACAAAATAGATCAACAGCATTAACAAATGAAAAGCAAGTAAGTTTTATCAAGCTAGATGGATACAATATAAAGTAAATCGCTTTCTGTCATGCCTCTCTCATACTATAACTATAATTTTGGCCAAATATAATTTTATCGAAAGTTAAACAGAATAATCCATGAAGACTTTATCGATGAAAGTAAGATTTTATTCAGCCTAGAGCTCTTATCTACCAATGAATGTATATATTCGGTTAATTTAACTTTGTAAAGTCGATAGAGATTAGTTAATATATTTTTTTCATTCACGACTGGAACACATCTGAATAACAAGAAGAATATTTCATCTATTTCTATGAATTAGCACAATACAATGAAATGATTAGAGCTGTCTACATAATTTAATTAATGTTATCCATGAAAATAAGGAATGAATATCAATTTTTGCATTGTACACAGTAGATCATGCTTCTCTCTTATTGTTTATTTATCATTAATTGCATTGTAAACATTTACATTTTTATTTCATGGAAAAGTATCTTGAACCGTTTTCATATATTTTTAACAGAATGAATAGAGTAAATACAAGTGGAACACAGTAAAGACTTTTTTCATGAATTTAAGGACTATGTCATAGATAATAAATTTTCTGTTTTCTTAATAATGTCCTATTACAATACATTTGCCTTCCAAGATAATGTTGTTGATTTAGATGTTAGTATAATTGCTCGTATTTATTTTATTGGTTTTGATGGATTACTTGTCAACGATATTATTACATATACATTGGGTTTTGATTGTACGTTGTGTTGATTTTACTAATGACGGTGCGAAGCATAGCACTTCTGTTGCCAGTCGAGCATCCATTCAACCTTCATAGTCTTCGTACCTTTCACTGTAACAAAACTTTTACTTTGTGTCGCGGTGATCTAGAGAACGGCAATTCGCTAAAAATTCATTCAGACTTTTTCAAATAGAACAATGTCTCGAGATAATATGAACATTATTGGATCTTCAGTAAGTTCCACAAAACGTTGATTTTGACGAGTTGGCCTTCATCTTTTATCCAATGGTAATAAAAAGTAGTATGCTAGTCTCCTGCCAGCTAAACCATAAACTGTTATGAGCAAGTGCGACAATGAAAACATTTGACAGGACAAAATCGACTCTAGGTGAAGATTTTTAATGTTCTTATGTTAATGCATACCCCATCGCTGAAAATTGAGATCACTTTGCGCCACCTTTATGTAATTCTTCGCGATTTTTCTTTCTATTGTATTTACTAAACGTATACATCGGAAATTACCATTTCTGGTCGTGATGAGCTAGAAAACGAGAAGTCAGAAAATACTGGTTCAAGTGTGAGGACGAAATTTCATGATCGAATCTATACCATTTATTTTTCAATCTTCAACAGGGCATTCCACTTTCATTAGAGAAATCCATTCAAGAAGGCAAATATTTCTGGACTTCACCTTTTTTCTTTCAAGCTTCGAAATAATCAAAACGATGGCAAGCTGTTTATATTGCTCAAAGCTATATGAACATTAATATTAGATAATGAATCATATATATAATTACGTGATAAATGCATAGCGCCCTCTGGAAACATGCACATAGAGTTCTCACTGTAATTAACTTTTCCATGTCTATCTTTCCACTCCTTTCATATTTCCATCACTTAATTGATCGAAACATAGATAATTCCAGTTTTCGATAATAGTGACATGGATAGAATTCGCTTCTGTGAACTGTAAATATCTCGAGTGATAAACAGTTATTTAATTACTCGTAGAAACGATTCTTCGTGTTTTATGAGATATCGATTTTCGATTGTTCTTATTGTATCTATTAATATGTCATCTGTCTTAAATTTGATGTCTGATGAAGTATCTCTTCGAAATATGAAATATCACAATTTTTAATAAATATTAATTAAAAGAAAAGCGTGTTATCACAGCCCCAAAGGGGCTGAAATGTGGAACTCACATATGCGCTCTAGCCTCATTAAACTAATACAAAAAACGTAAAATGAAAAATCTCTCGTAAACTATAATCGTTTTGCAGAATAATCAATCACTAAAGTAAACACTTCTCCAATTTCTGCATTTCGAACAAATTTTTTTTCTACGCGCACCTATTTTTTGTTTTCGTTATTGCTATTCGCTAATTATTTTTCGCTTTTTTTTTTAAATTCGTTTTTCTTGATTTATCATTCTTATTATTATAATCATTAAATAGATTGACAAAAAAGTGTGTTTTACATATCTGTGATATCTACAGCAGATCTTACACGCTATCATATATATTAATCAAATAACAAATAATGTTATTCATTATTTTTCAAAATTATAACTTGATCAATTTTCAAAAAAAAAAACTCCAGAAAATCTAACACCTTTTATTATCGATTGTTAAGGTCTTTAATGGGGACCTGTGTTGCTAAGTATCTGTAATGGGGAGGAGGGGAGCCGCAACAAATCGAACTTAAAACTTACACTCACTATTTTCTTCGAAAATATATGTGAGTTCCACAAAAGAAAAGAAGAGAATTAACTCATGTCAAAAGAGAATCAGAGATAAAAGATCAATGAAAATGAATGAAAACTGAATCGAGACTCTCTTGTGCGCCAGTGTACTATATATGTCATGAGTTTTTGATACATTATCTATGGCTTTATAATTAGCACAAGATTCGATTTGTTTCCTAATATCCAGTTTTTAATGTAAATAATTACATGTGCATCAAGCTCACCGTTCTACTTTGTACAATATAGAAACACATTTTTTTGCTAAATTTAGCATATTGATCGATTCAAAAGTTTAATAATCTAATAAACGATGGGTTCAGCGTAGGTTTCGGAATGAATATAAGTTACAAAATGAACCAATTTTTAAATTATATGTTAATTACAATCATCTAATCAAGTAACCATGGAAAAAACATCGGCATCATGTCTTGTTTTCAAAACAAATTAATGATAATATTTTAATTGAATTTCTCTTTAAGAAAAGTGTGAGAATATGGATGCAAAAAACTTTTTTTATGTTATGTTGGAGTTGATTAATCTTTCCTTTAAAAGACAATTCTTGACAAAAATACCAAGTCTCTGTCTATACTTTCATTAGTTTCGTATGATACTGAATTCTCAATCAAGCAGAAACCCAGGTCGATCGTTCCGGCCACCGAATATTGCAAGAACTTGCAGAAAAGATGCAGAAAAATCACTGTATCCTGCAGGAGAACACCGAAAATCGGCGGAACATGGAAGCAGTACTTTGGTCGGAAATTTTGCAGATTTTTTCCGGATAATTTCCGGCCGGTTCCTGCCGAAAAAAACTGGAATCGACGGGATAAAAATCCGAAAAATTTTCGGCTGGAATACTGCTTCCATGTTCCGTCGATTTCCGGTGTTTTCCAGAGAGAATCGGCCCGTACTTCTCGATCTGGGAAGCACGTACTCAAATAAGAATTTGTCATACATTTTCAAACAATAATGTGTAATAGCCTGTTTCTATGCACATATCCATTTACAACAACATAAAGAGAAGGAGAGGAAAAGCTTTCAAATATCATAAAAAGAAAGCAAAATGTGACAGTGTATGAAATATATTGCAATCTTTTCCGCACTTATTTGTTATCTTATGACACAACAGACAACCACAGAAAAGAAAACGAGTAAAGTAGTTAAGTGAAAAGAAAAGAAAAAAAGCAGTCAAACAGTAACAACATTAATCAAAAACAAATAGAAGCAGAAACATCCACGAAAAAACTCAAACATACTAGATAAGTTCAAGCCATTTTATTTTTTTTCATTGACTAATCTCCAGACATACCATGGACAATAAGAGAAAGTCAACAACAACAACAGCAACAATAATTGCTGCTGCTGCTACTGCCACGTCATGTGAACATACCAGTATGAAGTCACGACAGTCTCGTGCTGCTCGCATAGTTCAGAACTTTTCGCTAGTTTGGCTCGACAGCAGTATTGATCCAGAGAACAGCAAGACTTGCAAGAATATCATTTCAAAATTAAAAGAAATAGTCAGTGAAGTCAAGACATTCAAGGATGTCAATGAATGTATCAAATTTATTAGCGACCTTAAGCAAGACAAGCTGTTTATGATCGCTTCTGGTGCATTGGGACAAATCATAGTGCCCACAATACATGACATGCCGCAAGTCAGTACAATTTATATATTTTGTGGTAACCAAGCTCGGTATGAACAATGGGCAAAAGATTGGGCAAAAATAAAAGGAGTATTTACAAATATTACACCTATCTGTAAATCCCTTCAACAAGTAGCATACGAATGTGACAAAAACTTAGTCTCAATCAGTTTTGTCACCACTGGTAGCGGAACTATCAAGCAAAACCTTGATCAATTAGATTCTTCATTTATTTACACACATATTATGAAAGAGATTCTATTAAGCATTGACTTCGAACCACAAAACTTCAATGAATTCATTATCTACTGTCGCGATGTTTTCGTCGACAATCCGAAACAACTTTATCATGTCACTAAATTCGAACAAGAATACCATAAGCATCTTCCGATTTGGTGGTATACCTACCGATGTTTTCTATATTCTATGCTCAATCGAGTATTACGAATGATGGAGGTCGATCTCATCATAAAATTAGGATTCTTTATTCGTGATCTGCACAACCACATCGCAAAGCTTCATGAAGAACAATATGTTAGGCATGCATATATGAAATCGTTTACTGTTTATTATGGCCAAGGACTGCCAAAGACCGAGTTTGATCAAATGCTGAAGACACAAGGTGGAATTTTATCATTCAATAATTTCTTATCAACTAGTATGCACCGTCAAGTATCCCTCAATTTTGCACGCGAAACTATGGAATTGTCTGATCTTGTTGGTATTTTGTTTGTCATAAAACTAGATCCATCGATCGTGTCAACACCATTTGCTGACATCCGTGATGACAGTTATTTCGAAGGAGAAGAACAAATTCTCTTCTCCATGAATTCCATCTTTCGTATTGGACCAATAAAACAAATTGATGGAAATAATCGTCTGTGGCAAGTCGATTTAACAATGGCCAATGATAACGATCCAGACTTGCATGCATTTACTGAATGGATGCGAGAAGAAACTAAAGGATCGATAGGGTGGCTTCGATTAGGAACTTTTATGGTCAAGTTAGCTCAGTACAACAAAGCCGAAGATTTATATGGAATATTACTCGCGCAGAGAACTAATGAAGATGAGAGAGGACATATTTTTTATCAGCTCGGAATGATTAAGCTTCGCAAAGGAGAGTATGCAGATGCGCTCACATCTTATGAAAAATCACTGAAAATCCGTCGAAAAAATCTTTCATCGCAACATTCGAATCTAGCTGAATGTTACAACAATATAGGTGTGGTATATGAAAAGATGGGGGAGTATTTGAATGCACTTGCATTTCATCGAAAAGCGTTGGACATCTATCAAAGAAGTCTTCCTTCAAATCATCCTGATTTGGCTACTTCTTACAGCAACATTGGCTTGGTGTATTTCGAAATGGGTGATTATTCAAGTGCACTTTCATCTCATCAAAAAGCACTAAAAATCTACCAAGAAACTCTTCCTTCAACTCATCCCAATTTGGTTGCTTCTTACAATAACATTGGTTCGGTATATGACAGACTGGGCGACTATTTGAGTACACTTTCATTTTATCAAAAGGAGTTCGAAATTCGCCAAAAAACTCTTAGTTCAAGTCATCCTGATTTAGCTACTTCTTACAATAATATTGGTTCGGTCTATACAAAGATTGGCGACTATTCTAATGGACTTTCGTATTATCAGAAAGCACTGAAAATCTACGAACAAATTCTTCCTTCAAATGATCCTAATTTGGCTACTTCTTACAACAATATAGGCTTGGTGTATGACAACATAGGCGACTATTCGAGTGCACTTTCATTTTATCAAAAAGCGTTGGAAATCCAACAAAAATTTCTTCCCCCAAATCATCCTGATTTAGCTACTTCTTATGAGAACATTAGTTTGGTTTATGATAATATGGGTGACTATTTCAATGCACTTTCATCTCAGCAAGAAGCACTGGAAATAAAACAAAAATGTCTTCCTTCAAATCATCGTGATTTGGCTACTTCTTACAACAGCATTGGTTTGGTGTATGCAAAAATGGGTGACTATTCTAATGCACTTTCATTTTATCAAAAAGACTTCGAAATTCGCCAATTAATTCTTCCTTTGAATGATTCTAATTTGACTACTTCTTACAACAACATAGGTTCGGTATATAACAGCATGGGTGACTATTCGAATGCACTTTTATATTATCAAAAAGCATTGGAAATTGAAGAACAGACTCTGCCTTCAAATCATCTTGATTTGGCTACTTCTTACAACAACATCGGCGCGGTTTATGATAAGATGGGTGACTATTCGAATGCACTTATATCTCATCAAAAAGCACTAGAAATCAAAGAAAAAATTCTGCCTCCAAATCATCCTGATTTGGCTACCTCTTACAATAACATTGGTTCCGTGTATGACAACATGGGTGACTATTCGAATGTACTTTCATCTTATCAAAAAGCACTGAAAATTTACCAACAAAATCTTCCTTCAAATCATCTTGACTTGGCTAGTTCTTACAACAATATTGGTTTGGTGTATAACGATATGGGTGACTACTGGAATGCACTTTCATTTTTTGAGCGTGCTGTTGAAATTGGACAACGTTCACTACTAGAAAATCATCCTAGTCTACAATTATGGAAGAAGAACCTCGAAAATGTGAAGAGGAATATGTAAATGATTTTTGTTGTATTAGAATTAATAAAAGAAATGTAGAGAAAAGAATATGTTAGAAATTGGCGACGGTCTATTAATTACAGTTGCTGTTTTCGTTACACAAAATATTGGAAAAGGTTTCGTTTTGTTGTGAAAGTTTTACTGCCTGCTATCTCATACAATCGTGACTAAATCTACTTAGGAGCCATTGCACGATAGCCACGACCAACCGTGCTCAATTGATCTCACGGATTTCAATGAAATTTTGCCTATATGTAGACCCAAGTGAGATATGAAAAAGTCTAAAATTTCAGCCTCTAAAACCATTCCCTTCTTGAGATATTGAAATCACAATGAAGGTACCCTCAGCTAAAAAATGACGATAACCAATGCAACACCCACTCAGTGTTTACTTCACCATTTTTTAACCATGATGTTTTTTGGCATGAAACTTTGAGGATATATACTACCCTTAGTATCCTACAGATTAACCCAATCAAAACCATTATCCCACTCGTTAGGTGGTATAGAGGTATTTCATAGGTTCTAGATATATGCTCTACATTGTGATCAGGATTTCTATCGCTTATGAGCGAGTTATGAGCTTCCGCTTTGGAACTAAGTACTACTGCCCTCGAGCTATTAGCAACAATTTTCAAAACCTTGGCGTTTTGATTTTGACCCGAACAAAAATCCTTTTTGGTGTATATATGAGCTGATTTGGGTCAAAATTGGGATCCATTTCAAGACAAGCTGCCCAGTCATGATCATCATGTTCTGCTCAAATTAAGATATTCTTGTAGAGAGCAAAGCTTTATGAATTTTGACGCAAGCCATTTGAAAAAATAATGTTCCATTCTCAAGATATTAGCAACTTACCGAAGAGAACTATCGCCAAAAAGGCAGTTTTGCTAATTCTTTGTGAGATTCATATCTCACCAAAAAAACCATCCGTTTCACTTGATATCTTTACTGAGCATATATATCAAGTTGATGCATGTATCATAAACGAATGAGTTCAAAGGAGTGTACTATTGATGAATTGATCAATACTACTGGACACAGTACAAAATGGTCATTTATCTGTGTTTTGTGCATATATATATATATCTGATGAATGGATCATGTTAGGGAGCTGAAATTTTGGCTATAGAGAGATCTCATTGAGTGCTTATTCTGATAAAAAATTCAGCTCTTTCGATAGTTTCTATAGCTCAGGGGACCTTCTACAAAGGCATGATTTTGTCAAAAATGACGACTTTGGATGGTTTCGATCGCTCAAGAAATGGAATCTATAGAAATCGNAAAATTTCTTAATGACAGAAACGCTTGGGTAAAAATTCAAGCGCATAGGCAAGAATTTCAAGTGGATGAGCAAGAATATCAAGCGATAGCACAAGAAGTTCAAGAACTTGATCTCACCGAAAGGTTTCAAGTCTTGCCTCAAGTTTTGTCCATAGCGCAGGACTTTCTTGGTCAAGATTCTCAAGTTTCTCTTGCGCAGACCAAAAGAAGTTCGTCTAGGGTACTATTCAACTAAAATATGATCTATATAAATCCTTTAATCATACACTTAATATCACGATCGATTAGTAAATCTCATATATCGAACAAAGACAAAACCTTTCTCTGCATTATAAAACTTGAGCGTGTGGGTCGGGAAGGGAGAAAGGAGCATGTGCGAGAAGCCACATTAGCATGCAGGTCCGCACGTACATCCACGCCCTGTGAGTATAACATTTTTAATCATTGTTGCATGATCATTTTGCATAAAGTGAACTTTTTTATTCGTTTTCATATGTTTTAGTGGAACACATCAAGATTATTTTCATGGCAGAATTCAAACACTGATATTCAATATGGAATAATATTCATCTAAATAAATCTTGTATAAAACTTCATTTTATCTTCAAGTAACAGATCTTCGAATCGTTTTTCCTGTTGAATTGTATCCAGTCAATGAATTCACTATTAGAAAAACAAAAGTGCATCTTATTATTAATTCGAAAAAAACTAATATCTTGTCATCTTTAAAATATAATTTTGTAAAACTATTTTCATATTAAGGTTACATTCCATTTCCAAGACGAACAGATTAAAGTAAAATATTATCATTAATAGTTTGTTCAAAACTAAGAAATTTGTGACGCAGACATTTTTTTGTTGCATTGAACTTGTTTCGTAAACTACTGTGTCAAATATTAACGTAGCATTATTCGTCAAACTAAATATACAAAAAAACTGTTTAGAACTAGTAAAGATTTTATTTGTTGATTGATTGACAGTATGCTCGAATGATTCTTGAGTATAACGATGATAAATATTTGAGGGACGTTTAAATTTGATTGAAATCAACATTTATAAGAAAAATAAAGTTCGTTCAAAATAAAACGTTGAATTGACTTACTAGTTAATGCAGTTGTTCGCAAGCTTTTTTTCTTTCCTTCTTTCTCGACGTAGACATCAACAGTTGTCATTTTGCTATCGCGATGATCGCTGATCAAACTGATAGCGCCCGTTTTCTGATCTTTAATATGACATTCCATTTTCTTACGATAAGTGACCAAAAAAAGGGAAGTTTTTGTGGACTTCATTTCTCTCAAGCTTCAAGATTATTAAAACAAAGCTAACAACTAAACTTAGTTTGTATTCTCTTTGCTTATAGCTAAGACAGCTGATGACAGATAATGAATCAGAGTGACAATCAAGGGGTCAATTAAAATTATTCTTTGAAGTTGTGTTTAAATCAGGTGATAGAGTTCTCTTAATAATGCATTTTGAAATAGCTACATTACAGTTTCCTACTAACTTTGATCATCTAATTGATCGAAACGTAACTTTTTCGATTTAGAGCGACAAAAAAGAAGCCCTGGTTCCAATATATCGTGGTTAACTTTTTGAAGACAAGCATTTTATATTCAATGTTACAAATGATTATTCATTTCTTAGAAAATATCGATTCGTTCCTTAATCAACATTGGAAGCTTCACACAACATTTTGCAATATAGTAAAACTCAACTGCTATCTAGTTTTATTTGAAATAGCATGTCAGACCGTAGTGCCCTTATTATTTAATGCTTACTTTGCATGTGGAAAACAAGAATCACAAGTTCAATTACATCGAAAAACGGTCATCTATTTATAGAATTGCTTTTTCATATAATAATAATAATGCTTAATTCGAAAGACAAATTCTGTCAGACAGTGTAACTTAACATGCTGTTTCACATTAAAAAGTAATTGACAACAATCAAGCTCCTTCGAGAATTCTAAGATGCGCAAACAGAAAAGCATATATAGAGAAAAAATGCAAGAAGATTACCCGCTTTTTTCTTGAAAACAAGGTACAAAATAAAAAAATCATCTCGCTTATGAAAGATCAGACTTCCAACTATATTCCGATGCATTTATCTAAATTTCGATTTTTCCAACGAAAATTGACTTCTGTTTTCTAGGGGGAAGGAGGGGTGGGGGGTCAACGTAACAGACAATGAACAAATGGATTCAACATACATTTCAATGCTCTTTCACTTTTGCAAAGAATATATATATTCATCAATATTTTATTCCTTCATATCTTAGAAAAAAGAAAACATTTATTTGTTTTTTGTTCAAAAAAAAATTCAGACGGTAATAGAAGTATATGCGTAAAGAAAGAACCACAACTACCAAACTGTACAAATGTATGATCTGCTAATCAAAAAAAAGCACTACACGCTCAAAAATAACTCGATGAGTTCAAAGGGAAAAAATACAATATAAACAAAAAAACGAAAAGAACAATGACATAAACAAGTATTGATTATTCGACAATTATTAAAAAAACAAATAATACAAGCGTAATACAAACATACGTATACAAACAAAAAACTAATAGAGTAAAATGTAACAATAAACAGATCGAAAAAAAATCAAATCAATTTATATGATATATAAATGAGAAACGAAAAAAAGTGTCATTATTTCATTGTTTATTTTAACAGATATAGATGACGAGATTCAAAAGAAAGACAACATGCGAGCAAGTATACACGTTGAAAATTGCACACAGAGAAAAAAAAATACATATCCAACATGTATCATTGACTTTTTTAATTTTTTTTTTTGAATTAATCTTCATTTCTTGACTCGAGAACGAACTTTACGTGCAGGTTTGTCTAGATGACGGACGAAAAATATTATAAAATAATCAAAGAAATTTTTAGTTATCTTTCACCTTGTTGAGGACTGTCACTGTCTCGACGCATACCACCGACACCTTGTGCCGCTTGATTGGCCAATTTAGATGCATATAAATTAGCTTCTTCTTGAGCTTTACCAATATTTTTCTTATATCGAATACGTTTATTGCCAAACCAATTACTAACCTGAAAAGACAAAGTAAATTATTTAAATCTTCTTTTCTAAAAGTATATGAAATATCGAATCAATTTATTGTTATAGAAACCTTTTATCCTCGAAGCAAAATATTGAAAATTTAAATATGTCTACTGAAGAATTCGTGAAAGGTACACATGATTAAAAAAAATTTCAGATTTTTCCAGCACATTGTTATTGATTGACTTCTTATCCTAGAGGATAATAAAGTGAACTTATCTTAAATCTATAGGGAAGGTAGTAAAATAGAACGAAATAAAATACTGCAAACGATTGTGCTTTTAAAAATCTATTAATTTAAAATGATTTAGAATCTGAAAGTTCATTAGATCTAAACTAATTATGATCCTAATTAAAAATATCAAGTTCTGTTAAATGACCAGTTTTCGGGATTCTCGATTCATTTGTAAGTAGCTCCGAAAAAATCAAACCGCGAACTTTCGACCTAAAATTTTGCTTATTAATAGGTCCAATGACTCTTAGAATATTCTGAAAAAAATCATCCTACGTCAAGATATTGAATTTTCAAATTAGCTCTTTGTGAAGAACATGTGACAAAAATTAAGCTTATTTGAAAAACCAGTTTTCAGAATATCATAAGGATCAATATTCGTATCTATGGATAAAAGTTTAGATCAAAGCT